ACAGGGTTTTTAAACTATACAAACTGTATATTCTTAAAATAATAATAATGCATTTTATTTAGAGGCACCCAAAACACTCAAAAACTTAAACTTAACTTAAAGCGACAGTCATAAATTTATTTTAATAGCTAATGCTTGTTTTTAATTCCATTTTCTAACATATTCTGTTTTTATTACTGTATTTCTTATGTCTATTTTTAACTATGTTTTACTGTAGCACTTTGAGATTTGGTGTCAAATGTAAAGTGCCTTACAAATAAAATGTATTATTATTATTATTATTTATTATTATAAAATACAAGACAGCAATACAATCATTTTCAGCATTAAGATAATACACACAACTAATCAGGGAAAGCTCATTTAAAAAGATGATTAAGACGTGATTTAAAAGTAATAAGTCATGCATAGATTAGATTAGCAGATATTTCCAGCAAACATTTTTTAACATTCAGCATTAAAGAGGGCGAACTTTATCATTCAACTGATGATTTTAAACACATCATGTTCTTTGTTTGTGCATGTAAATGCGCATCCCTGAATGAGTGTGGTTTATAACATATTTACTTTAAATGCTCAGGTCATTTAATGACCAAACTTTTCATATTTACAGGTAAAGCTACATATTCAAGCTAATTCACACCCTGAATATACTCAAATGAGCATCATAAACAACTTAGTTTTCATACCAACATGACATTTAAAACATTTAAACGGTAAAACCTTTATATTTTTTATATCTGAAGAGGCTGATGGTGATATATAGTGTTGATAATGATCATATCCAGTAGGTGGCAGCATTGCATTTAATGTCACTTGGGGAGATCCATAGCAAACCTGTATATTTCAGTGTGTTGTGTGTAGTCGTAGGACTCAGCTTTTCTGTTGCTCGTGTTCTTCTGTTTCTCTGAGATCGCAGTGAAACCTGACCTGGAGTACCGTAAACGGTTTCATTACACTTCTAAAAAATTTCCAGAACCCATAAACTAGCGTGAATGCGATCCAGACCCTCACAATTCAACCCAGATCTTCCCACTGGAAGTTCAAAATAAATCGCCCCGATACATTCCTCATTTATTCCTTGTAAAAGCACTATTTTTGCTTTGGAATTTGATTTATTTGTTTCCTCTGCTCCGTTTCTTTCGCAAGTGGGCAAAGTTTGCAAGTGGAATCATAATCCATCCAAAACACTGCATTTTTTGGCTTTTTGCTTGTTTTGAGAGCTGTTTGAAATTATGTGTGAGTTTATCTCCCCAAAATCCTGATGATTTCAGCAGTTATGATGTTATCTGATCAGACTCCCGCGGGTTTCAATCACATTCCTATTTCCCAAATGAAAAGATGCCTCAGGCAAACGTCAGAAAAACAAACCAGATTGGACTTTACCATCTCAGATAAGAGTTTAAACATCTTAAAAATGACAAATATTACAACAGAATAATGACTTTAATGTTGTACCACTGAACTGACAATGAGTGAGAGTGTTTCCAGTTATGTAAACCTGATAAACGTTTCCTTCGGAGGGTAAACACAAGTCATTGATAATGTATTAAAGGAGTAGTTCACTTTTTAAAAAAAACTTTTGCTGATAATTTACTCGCCCCCATGTCATCCAAGATGTCCATGTCTTTCTTTCTTCAGTCGAAAAGAAATTAAGGTTTTTGATGAAAACATTCCAGGATTTTTCTCTATTTAATGGACTTCAATGGGGTCCAAACGGTTCAAGGTCCAAATGAAAGTTTCAGTGCAAACTGTTCAAAGGGCTTTAAACGATTGAAGACGATGAATAAGGGTCTTATTTAGCGAAACGATTGGTCATTTTAAAAATAAATAAAAAAAGTTTGTTTTATAAGCACAAATGCTCGCTGAATCTTTTTCGAGTCATTTGGTTCATTCAACGAACGAAATGACTCGAAAAAAGATTTGTTCATTTTGATGAACGAGTTCATCAAACGAGCATTTGTGCTTATAAAACTTAAACCTTGTTATTTATTTTTTAAATGGCCGATCGTTTTGCTTGATAAGACCCTCGCCTGGTGTCGTTTAAAGCCCTTTGAAGCTGCACTGAAACTCTCATTTGGACCTTGAACCGTTTGGACCCCATTGAAGTCCATTATATGGAGAAAATCCTGGAATGTTTCGGATAATTATTTTTCGACTGAAGAAAGAAAGACATGGACATCTTGGAAGACATGGGGGTGAGTAAATTATCAGCAAAAGTTTTTTAAAAGTGAACTACTCCTTTAAATAAGGCAAACTTATGAACTAATAATTTACACCGTGAGGTAAATGTGTGTATTGCATTTTTCAAAACGGATTTGCTTTTCCTGAAACATCTGGTGTGAGGAGCTTCCTCTGGGTTAGTCACTAATGTTTCATCATCCCGTTTCCCAGATTGTTGAGCGGACTGGTTTCTCAGGCACCAACAGTCTTGGCTTAAATGAAACAAATTCGCAAATGAATCTGATGTTTGAGTTCGAGACTTTACCTGGATAGAGATGATGTTGTATTTGGTCCAGTGTTGGTCTTTCTGGAGAAGGGGAATACTTTGCCCCGGAACGACAGGATAACGCAATATGTCATAAGTAGTTTCAGACTTCCTTCTCGTCTACGCTTTCCGTCATCAAACCCAGAGGCATGAATGAGTCAGATTGTTAACCAGTGCTTCTGATGAACCGGACTTGATTTTTTTCTGCTATCGCTGAGTTGATTTTTTTTATAATTTATTTATTTATTGTTTTTATGGATATAATATCTATAGGTATGGATATAATGTCTACCATATTACTATGACATAATATTATATTACTATATGAAGAGTTCAGATGCAAAAGCCTCTAAATGCCATTTGAAATTTTCTTCTTTAATGATGATTTTTATCAAACTTGTATATTTAAGTTCAGTAATTTCACTTAAATAACAATTAATAGGTAATTATCATTGCAATTTAAGTGAAATCACTTAACTTAAATATACAAGTTTGATAAAAATCATCATTAAAGAAGAAAATTTCAAATGGCATTTAGAGGCTTTTGCATCTGAACTCTTCATATAGAGAGTTTGTAATGTTATAAAAAATGCTTTTCTTTTGAACTCTGAAAAAATGCCACAGCGTTTCCCCAAAATATGAAGCACCACAACATTGATAAAAATCATAAATGTTTCTTGAGCATTAAATGATCATATTAGAGTGATTTCTAATGCTAAGACTGGAGTAATGATGCTGGAAATTCAGCTTTGATCACTTGAATAAATTACATTTTACAATATATTGACATAACTATTTGAAACTGTACTCATATCTGTCAATATATTAAGTTTTACTGTATTTTTTGATCAAATAAATGCAGGATTTGTGAGCAGAGATTTATTTAAAAAACATCAACAAACCTTACCGACCCCAAACTTTTAAACAGATGTTTTTACAGATTTATACGAACTGCTGGGAAAACAAATCAATAAACAATGTCAAATCATAAAAATGATTCGTTCTGATGAGATGAGCCTCAAACTGAAAAAAGCTAAAAAAAACATGCTTATACACTACAGGTGAAACTTGAAAAATTAGCATATCATACAAAAGTTCATTTATAATTCGACTTAAAGGGTGAAACTGATATATAGACTCATTTCAATATTTCAAGCCTTTATTTGTCATAATTTTGTATCAATATCTAATTTTGAATATACACTCTAAAAAATGATGTTAGATTTACTTAAAATGTATATGCACCATTTTTGCATCATACTTTTTAAGTAGGGCTGTGCAAAAATTAATTGCGATTAATCGCATCCAAAATAAAAGTCTGTGTTTACATAATATATTTGTGTGTGCTGTATATAGTTATTTTGTATAAATAAATACCTATGCATGCATGTATATATTTAAGAATTATTTGCGCCTAAATTCTGTATATATATATATAAAAATACATAATCTATATTATATAAATAAATATATTAAATATATACATGCATGTGTGTGTATTTATATATACAAAATAATTATATACAGCACACACAAATATATTATGTAAAGACAGACTTTTATTTTGGATGCGATTAATCGCAATTAATTTTTGCACAGCCCTATTTTTAAGTAATCCCAACTTAAAATGAACAAGAAAACCTTTGTTATATGTACTCAAATATTTGAGTTCATGCAACATTCTTTACTTTAAATATGTGATGCATATATTTTTGTGTTACGCACACTATATATGTTAAGTAGAGGTTGAAAAGTTATTATTTTTTGTGTTTAATCAACGAATCGTTTTTTTAAATCAAAATTAAAACACGTAAAGGCTCGAAATATCTCACTTTGCGTGTAATGAGTCTATATAATATATTAGTTTCACCTTTTAAGTTGAATTACTGAAACAAATGTAACTTTTGCACCATTTTTTAGTGATATTTTATTCAGGATTATTATTGCTGTTGAGTTAAGAGGGTTTATTGCTCAATCCTGGAGCGCGTGTGCTGTACGTAGGAACGCTGGCCTTCGGAGGGCCGAAAATGGGATCGAGCTTCTTTTTTTGGTGCGTGTGCCTGTGGTGCGAGAGGTCAGATGAGATGATGAGGGCATAGGATCTGCAAACCACAGTGGAAATCAGAGCTACGTGAGGACGGTTCATCTCATGAGACGGGGGGGATCCAGGGGTGAACAGTCAGTCCCCGGGGCCCGTCGGCCTTAGGTTAGGGCTCCCGGGACCCCCGGTGGCTCCTGAACGACGGATCGACGGTGTGGAGAGTTGAGAACCCTCCCTTCACTCATCCGCTCGCTCAGACGGAGAAGAGAGATCGACGAGAGGCAGAAAGAACTGAGAGGAACTTGAAACGCCGGCTCAACTTTGAGACCTGCGGATTGAGGAAAACATGTATGGGTTAGCGCGTTTCGGATCTATGCCGTTGTGTTTTCCGGGACTCGGATCGATGTGTTGCTTTGGTTTTGTTGTGACCTCCAGAACTCAACTCTTACACTTGTGTGCGTTTTTCTGCAGGGCCAAAGACATGAAGAACCGACTCGCTTTCCTGAGGAGGAGGAATGAGTCTCCCGGAAGCACCCCGGTCGGCAAGCTCGACAAAACCTTGAAGTCTATCAAGTAAGTGTGTGTGTGTGTGTGTGTGTGTGTGTGTGGTGTAATGGCTCTCTGCTCGTGTGTGTGACAGACTAACTGAAAGGATCAACACATTTGGAAGTGAAAACGTTGTGATATTAACGGTATATTTTACCAGCAGGGCTTGACATTAACACCCGCCAAATGTGTGTGTATTTCAGCAGTGTGTAATGCAGTCACTCCAAATAGACACTTAAAGTCTTGTAAAATGGCACCTGAAATTATAAACTAAGTGCAATTGTCAGAATTTTTTTTTATTTTTTATACCGATACTGAAATATCTGAAACGCTTCCAATACACACCTCTCCTCATTGACTCGTTTCATTCGCTCCAGATATGCATTGTTCTTACAAGGGCTTGAATTTCGGTGTGAATTTCGCATAATTTTACAGATTTAATCACTGCTTTTCAGACTCTGAGGTGTTCTGACATGCTCTGACTTTTGTATTATTATTATTCAATTGTATTCAGTACAAACTCTGCTACAATAATATGTCAGCAGCATGTATGTAATTTTGAGATAATGACGTTTATGCGTGGTTTGTTGAAATAAAATTTAAACGGTTAAATACACACTAAATAGTGTCCGTTCTTAGTGAGGATTTACGTAAGCATGGTCAGTTGTGTTTTAAGTGAACGTAAACAGTTGAGATAGAAAACCATGTGTAATGGATCCGTGCATCAGGTCTTAAAGTGACAGCAGCCTAATGATGGCAAATTAGTTAATATTAAAAATATCTATTTACTTAATTTTTCCCCATATTACCAATGACAAAATTGTCAGTGAAAATGCTGAGTGAGCAAAAAAAAGTTGACGTCAAGCCATGATTATCAGTCATCAAAGTCTATAAATGATGCCAGAACAGAAATAAAATATAATAGAAGTTTCAGCTAGTTGCCAAGGGAGCATTTCTCATTTTCATTTATTTTAACTTCTACTAACTAAGTCATTTTGCAACTATGTCAACTAACTCTCACTAACACTAACAGTTTTTTATTTTTTATTTTGTGGGTTTGTTGCTCACGCACTGTAAAAATGAATATGCTTTATCTAATCCCAAAAAAATGTGGCAACAGATTACAAGCAATATTATTAATTCGATTTAACAATAGAATTGAGTAATAATTAATTAAGTTAAGTTTACCATTTAAAATGAGTACAACGTACCATTATGGTGATCGGTGTTTGTTTTAAAATTACGTCGTCTGACGAAATTTTGACGAATTTGAAAAATTTGACGTCTGTCTGTTAGTGAGATATTTTTGTTGAATTTTTTTGGTGTAAACTTTACCCATTTTAAATGGTTAACTTTTAAGGAATTAAATTGATTAATTATCAATCAAATTCTAATTTGTTCAATTTAATTAATAATATTGCTTGTAGTCTGTTGCCACAATTCTATTGATTAGATAAAGCATATTCATATTCATATTCATGTCTAAACTGAACCCTTGAAATAAAGTGTTACCCACAAAATATTAACAAAAACAACAATTCAATGATACTAAAACAATAACATCACATGCATCACAGAGTTGTTTTGATACACAATATTGATGTTCAGATATACATAACCTGCAAAATATGAGTTGATCTCATTAAATCAGGTCAGAATAATCACAGATTATGATTTTATCTGGAATAATTCTTCCCTGTTAGATACCGTTCCCTTATTAGGCAGTGTCATATTGAGTGTTAAAGGCTGCAGAGCTGAGCTTACACAGACAAGACAAGAATGAGTCTTGTGGGCGGAGCCTCTGTCTAACACGCCGTCCTATTGGTTCAGCTCCTCCTCTTCACAGAGAGAGAGATAAAAGAGGCCGTCCAACAGAGACTCACTCAGACGCTCAGGCTCACACACACACACACACACACTCGAGCGAGAGAAGGGCACAGCTTCGAATGGGTCATACAATGAGAAACCTGACAGAGATGGGTTTGCTGAAAAACCGCACTGCCTTTATTTGCAGGCCCACTCCAGAAGAGGCGATGAAGTGGGGCGAATCGTTGGACAAGCTGCTCGTCCACAAATGTAAGACTTCTTTTCTTTATGTGGATGTAATGAGCTTGTTGTATTTGCTGAATTCCTTTGGCTTGGCTTGAACCCACAGGGATGGCGGCTGCATTGTTTTAGGCATTCGTGTTTCCTCTCGACTTCCTGAGTCACTGAACGAACGCTCTGTTGAACATGCTCAATGGCTTTCATAGTAATCCTAGATCTGTATGGAGTCAGAGAAACACCACAGATTATAATCTGCATTCCAGCAAAAGCCCACCATGCATATCATGACTAAACTCAGTGGGTTTGTGAGGCACTGTTGGCGCGGAGAGCATCCACATGCTGTTATCTCTAACGGGAACGGGAAGGTGATTGCGTGCTTTGGGACGGAGCCACACTTCCGTCTATTTTAATGCTGGCCGCCTTTAGATCTGAAAGGAAATGTCAGTAATCACATGATGCAAAAAAAAAATGGCTTTCTTAGGCCTTGCCAGTCCAAATATCCAAAAAATTCCCAAATCAATGTGCGTTTACTAAAGTAGTAAAACACCACAAGGTATTGTGTCTTGTGTTTTGGGGAAATGAATCAAAATGAAGTGAGTTTTTGCTTAAAACAAGCAAAATTATCAGCCAATGGGGTTAGAAAAATAATCTTGTTTCTGTTTGAATTAAGCTTTTTTACACAACAACTCACTTAATTTTGATTAATTTACCCAGAAAACAAGACTCATCTAGTAAAAACATCTTGATTCAAGAATTATTTGATATTTGGACTGGAAACAAGACATTTTTTGCAGTGTGAAACTTTTGTTTTCACTTGTTTTAGGCATGGAAATTCACATAAAATGAATGAGATGTCAAATGGAAATTGCATAAAAGATGATTTAAAATCATTTTTTTGCTTAAACTGCATTCTATAAATAACGTGAGGGTTTGAATTTGTCACTGAAATCACATCCTTCATTAAATGATAAAAAAAATGCCTTTCTTACTTAATATTTTTGTCCTGTTTCCAGTCCAAAAATCAAAAAAATCCTAAATCAAAGTGCGTTTACTAAAGTAGTAAAACACCACAAGGTATTATGTCTTGTGTTTTGGGGAAGTAAATCAAAATGAAGTGAGTTTTTGCTTAAAACAAGCAAAATTATCAGCCAATGGGGTAAGAAAAATAACCTTGTTTCTGTTTGAATTAAGCTTTTTTACACAACAACTCACTTAATTTTGATTAATTTCCCCAGAAAACAAGACTCATCTAGTAAAAACATCTTGATTCAAGAATTATTTGATATTTGTACTGGAAACAAGACATTTTTTTGCAGTGTGAAACTGGCATATTTGTTTTCACATGGAAATTCACATAAAATGAATGAGATGTCAAATGGAAATTGCATAAACTGCATTCTATAAATAACGTGAGGGTTTGAATTTGTCACTGAAATCACATCCTTCATTAAATGATAAAAAAAAATCAAAGTGCATTTACTAAAGTCGTAAAATACCACAAGGTATTATGTCTTGTGTTTTGGGGAAATAAATCAAAATGAAGTGAGTTTTTGCTTAAAACAAGCAAAATTATCAGCCAATGGGGTAAGAAAAATAATCTTGTTTCTGTTTGAATTAAGAATATTGGCAGATAATTTAGCTTTTTTACGCAACAGCTCACTTAATTTTGATTAATTTACCCAGAAAACAAGGCTCAACAAGAGATTTGATATTTGGACTGGAAACAAGACAAAAAATACTAAGAAAGATAAGCATTTTTGCAGTGTAGAACTGGCACATGATTTGCTTCCACTTGTTTTAGGCATGGAAATTCACTAAGTCGCATGTAAAATGGAAATTGCATCCCTGGTTACGAAAAGATGATTTAAAATCAGTACTAATGTTATCATTTAGCTTAAACTGCATTCGCAAGCTGCAGCACAAATAACGTGAGGGTTTGAATTATTCACTGAAATGCAATAAGTGTTGAATTAATAAGAGAGTAATGTTTCAAGGCATGCAGCGAGAGTCTTACATGCAGACTTAGAAGAAATGGTTCTATTTAGAACCAGAAATGGTTCCATCCTCCGCTTCATATATGGAACTCCAAAATGGTTCTATATAGAACCATTTTTTTTTGGGTAAAAGTTTCTATTGACCAAGTATGGAACCCCAGGGTTCTATAAAGAACCCAGAGGAACCCTTTTTTTTAAGAGTGTATAGAACCTTTTAGGGGTTCCAAATACAGAACCTTTCAAGGTTCTATATAGAACCTTTTCTTCTAAGGATGTGTGTGTCGGGGTCGGGTTAGTGCGCTAGTATTGACTCACGGGTTGGCGCGCGCGGAGGCTGCCGTTGCCATGGCTCTCTGTTTATCCATCCAATAACATCTCCCCTCTTCCTGCCTGTTTCTTCTCTCCCTCATCAGATGGGCTGGCGGCGTTCAGAGCTTTCTTGCGCACAGAGTTTAGTGAAGAGAACCTGGATTTCTGGCTGGCTTGCGAGGATTACAGGAAGATTAAATCGCAGTCCAAGATGACATCGAAAGCTAAGAAAATCTATGCGGAATTCATCGCCATCCAGTCCTGTAAAGAGGTGAGCATGACGTCTCGTGTTTATTTGCACTTTCACAGACTGCAAACGCCTAACGTTAAAGGTTAAGTATCAATGCCGCTCTGTATTATTTAGCAGCTCGGCTGGAAATATTCTTAAAATGCTCCGCATTGTGTCATGAAACTAAAACATTTGTCAGAGCCATGGAGGATATGATGTCATGCCTGACTAATGGACTCCCTCTTGGCCGCGCAACACACAGCTGACAGTTTGAGAGCATGTTTTCATTTTCCAAACTTGGAAAGGAGTTTGGAAACTCAGAATGAGACGAGCAGCAGGAGCTGTGGAAATCAGGCTGAGCTTTGTGTAGATTCACACTGCCAGATCTTTGACTTCCAGCATGAAGGCCGGTCCAGATTTCAGCTTATTCTGGATAGAAATGTTAAAGGGATAGTACACTGTAAAAGTACAGATACCCCTTGCTAAATTTTACTCAAGTACAAGTAAAAGTAGGCTACTACCGTCAGATGTCTACTTAAAGGAGTAGTCATCCAAGATGTCCACGTCTTTCTTTCTTCAGTCGAAAAGAAATGAAGGTTTTTGATGAAAACATTCCGGATTTTTCTCCATATAATGGACTTCAATGGGAACCAAACGGTTCAAGGTCAAAATGAGAGTTTGAGTGCAGCTTTAAACGACACCAGACGATGAATAAGGGTCTCATCAATAGAAACCATCGCTCATTTCAAAAATACATAAAAAAGTTGAAGTTTTATAAGCACAAATGCTCGGCTTGCTCTGAGCGTTCGTGACTCTCCTGTTCGAACTCGTTTATCAAAATGATCGAATCTTTTTCCAATCATGACTCGAAGGGTCCTAGATAAGACCCTTATTCATCTTCTGGTGTCGTTTAAAGCCATCCATTTCGGCGTCTCGCGCTCGTCATCCACTCAAAACGTAACGTTAACCAACTATTAAGCCCAAACAAGTGTGTGCGGTGTCGTTACTGTTGTTTAGTTTCCGGTCTAGCTAGATCCGCTTGCGCTTTTGGTCGACAAAGCAACAAAACGTCCTTGCGCGGCGCAAGCCATTGGGTTTCATACATAGTGTGTAAAAAAATAGCTTAACGCCGCGCATGCCGCGTCCTGTTGCAAAATCATGTGAAAAAAAAAAACACGACAAAGTTTGTTAGGCCAAAAAGACCGTTAATCGCGCGATAAAAAAAAATTAACACCGTTAAAATGGGTTTGCGTTAACGCCGTTAATTACGCGTTTAACTGACAGCCCGAATAAGAATGAAAATAGACGGTGAAAAGGAAAAGAGTGCATTGGAATCGATATGTTCAAATGCACTGATTCATTCAGGAGCGAGTCATTGAATCATTCACCCGATTCAGTTCACTGGTTAATTCAGGAGCAAGTCATTGAATCATTCACCCGATTCAGTTCACTGATTAATTCAGGAGCAAGTCATTGAATCATTCACCTGATTCAGTTCACTGATTAATTCAGGAGCGAGTCATTGCTCCACTATTGTGTGTTGTTAGTTTCACCTTTTAAGTTGAATTACTGAAATAAATGAACGTTTGCACGATATTCAGATTTTTCTAGTTTCACCTGTAAAGCACAAAGTAAAATGAAGTGAACGTACATATAAGAATGCATTGGAATCGATATGTTCAAATGCACTGATTCATTCAGGAGCGAGTCATTGAATCATGCACCCGATTCAGTTCACTAATTAATTGGGGAGCGAGTCATTGAATCATTCACCCGATTCAGTTCACTGATCAATTCAGGAGAGAATCATTGAATCATTCACCCGATTCAGTTCACTGATTAATTCAGGAGCGAGTCATTGCTCCACGATTGTGTGTTGTTAGTTTCACCTTTTAAGTTAAAATAACTGAAATAAATGAACGTTTGCACGTTTGCTAGTTTCACCTGTAAAGCACAAAGTAAAATGAAGTGAACGTACATATAAGAATGCATTGGAATCGATATGTTCAAATGCACTGATTCATTCAGGAGCGAGTCATTGAATCATTCACCCGATTCATTCAGGAGCGAGCCATTGAATCGTTCTCACGATTGAGTTCACTGATTCATTCAGGAGCGAGCCATTGAATCATTCCCCTGATTCAGTTCACTGATTCATTCAGGAGCGAGTCATTGAATCATTCACTGATTAATTCAGGAACTATGTGTGCCGCTTCTGAATTTCTGACTGTGGACTCGGAAGTAATGGCTCTTTTTTTTCCCCGTGCCGCAGGTGAATTTGGATTCCTACACCAGGGAACACACTAAAGAGAACTTGCAAGACATCAATCGCTCGTGCTTCGACCTGGCCCAGAGGAGGATATACGGCCTGATGGAGAAAGACTCGTACGCTCGATTTCTGCGCTCGGAGCTCTACGTGGACTTAGTGAATCAGAAGAAACCAAGCAGCACATCGACATCCTCCTCCTCCTAAGACGACGCCGAGAGAGACGCTATAAGAAGTTACTAGCATTCACTTAGCATTTCATCGTATTCAGCCATTCTATCTGTCGATGTGGCAAAAAGACAGAAACGCGGAAACGAGGCGTCGTTTACAAACGGTGAAAGATGGCGCTGGACGAGTGGCTGGATAATGCTGGTTGTTCCCATTTGAATGTCGTTTAATTTGCGTACTGGAGATTTATCGTCGCCTCTTCAACACCATGGGTACTGTTAACCTCTTCCTCTCCTAATGCCATTTCACCATTTCACCGTGACTTTCCTGAAACGTCAAGGCACGTATGGTCATGCACTTACTGGTGTTCCTGTGAACCTTCCTCCACCACAAAAGGAGGAACGGACCGAACGTTTGGCTCCGGACCGTCGATGATCTCTGAAGACTGTACAAAACATGCTTAGCTGTGATCTGCAACGCCAATAAGCCATTCATTGTAGCGACACATATTAGGAATGAAAGAGACAGTATTCTCAGGATATTACGGCACTCAACTATGAAGCTTCCAGACTTATTTAACCCTTTGTTTCCTCACCTTTCGGACTTTAGGTTCAATCATGCACTCGATATTTAATGGGGCGCGAGGTCCCTTCGTTTGTTAATAAGAAAGACGACGTGTTTAACCAGTACAAAAATGTAGTTATTTATTAATAAGTTTCACTGGTTGCTTTGTTCATTGCACTCAGCTGAATTTCCCTTTTCCACTTTGATCCAGGTCAGCCGCTGTCCTGATGTAAGTGCAATATGTTTTATTATTTTTATTTGTGGACTTATCTTATGGATAGGTTTACCTTTTGTATGAAAAAGACAATGGATTGAGCTCTGCATTAATATTATCGTAAGTTACAGGTAATGTAAGGACTGCATTAGTATGCCAATTATTCGAACTGTGTTTCCCTGGCAGCAGGCAGCCGGGTTAATGGATGTATATATGATTCTTAAGAAAAAAAAAACTGGTTAAAAAAGATAAAAACACACCTTATGTAAATATGTGAACCTTAAAGCTATAAAACGACATGTCGGGGTGGCGCAGGTATGGTCGTCCTGTGCTTTCGGACGAGCACTGCTTGTAAGTAGTTATATGAAATGTATTTTATCATTTTCACTGTTTACAATTCCAACGCATCTCCTAAGATAGCAAGTGCAAGAGAAAATAGAGGTTTAAAAAGTGTCATTACAAAACACAAATAAAACATTTAGATGGTAAAAATCGACAACATTGCCTCCTGCCTCTCTTTTATTGCTATAGAGTTGTGCATTGAATTGAGCATTGCTGAGTGTATTTTATAAAACCGGGCACACAATCGACAGAAAGAAGTCCAGGAGGTGTTTTCGTGACAGTTTAGGCACATTTCGTTTCCTCAAATGCGCAATCATTTTTTCTTAATTTACATGACGCTTTTATCCAAAGAGACTTACACGGTACACATTTACAATCTTATAAGTTCTTGCTTTCCCTGGGAATCAAACCCATGACCTTGAGCTGCAGGAAAGCTATAATTATAGTATTGAAAATATAGGGTGGGGATTTTGAATATGCTAATTTTGGGTAGCACTTTATTTTACAGTCCTTTCCCCCCACACTGAAAAAAATAATCCTGTAAAAAAAAAAAAACGGTAAAATACTGGCAGCTTTGGTTGCCAGCATTATACCGTAAAAATACAGTGTCTTGCTGTTTTTGAAATTTACAGCTAAATACCGTATTGTCAGCTACAGTATAAAACATTATTTTAAGAGCTATATGCTCTGACACAAAAACAGTAACACACCGTATAGTTACCGTATGATGCTGGAAACCACAGCTGCCGGTACTTTACCGTTTTTTAACATGGTCATTTCAGATATGTCCATACGATGCGGTTCAAAAGTGTGAGATGTTCTGATGCATACCGGGACTACACACTGTAAAAAATAATCCTGTAAAAAAAAAACGGTACTGGCAGCTGTGGTTGCCAGCATCATACCGTAAAAATACAGTGTCTTGCTGTTTTTGAAATTTACAGCTATACCGTATTGTCAGCTACAGTATAAAACTTTAATTTAACAGCTATATGCTCTTACACAAAAACAGTAACACACTGTATAGTTACGGTATGATGCTGGCAACCACAGCTGCCGGTAGTTTACCGTTTTATTACATGGTCATTTCAGATATGTCCATACGATGCGGTTCAAAAGTGTGAGATGTTCTGATGCATACCGGGACTACACACTGTAAAAAATAATCCTGTAAAAAAAAAACGGTACTGGCAGCTGTGGTTGCCAGCATCATACCGTAAAAATACAGTGTCTTGCTGTTTTTGAAATTTACAGCTATACCGTATTGTCAGCTACAGTATAAAACTTTAATTTAACAGCTATATGCTCTTACACAAAAACAGTAACACACTGTATAGTTACGGTATGATGCTGGCAACCACAGCTGCCGGTAGTTTACCGTTTTATTACATGGTCATTTCAGATATGTTCATACGATGCCGTTCTAAAGTGTGAGATGTTTTGATGCATACCGGCACACACTGTAAAAAATAATCCTGTAAAAAAAAAAAAAACGGTAAACTACTGGCAGCTTTGGTTGCCAGCATCATACCGTAAAAATACAGTGTCTTGCTGTTTTTGAAATTTACAGCTATACCGTATTGTCAGCTACAGCATAAAACTTTAATTTAACAGCTATATGCTCTAACACAAAAACAGTAACACACCGTATTTTTACGGTATGATGCTGGCAACCACAGCTGCTGGTAGTTTACCGTTTTTTTTACATAATCATTTCAGATATGTCCATACGATGCGGTTCTAAAGTGTGAGATGTTTTGATGCATACCGGCACACACTGTAAAAAATAATCCTGTAAAAAAACCACAAAAAAAAACGGTAAACTACTGGCAGCTTTGGTTGCCAGCATCATACCGTAAAAATACAGTGTCTTGCTGTTTTTGAAATTTACAGCTATACCGTATTGTCAGCTACAGTATAAAACTTTAATTTAACAACTATATGCTCTAACACAAAAACAGTAACACACCGTATAGTTACGGTATGATGCTGGCAACCACAGCTGCTGGTAGTTTACCGTTTTTTTTTTTTTACAGGATCATTGTACATACAAGGTAATAACCTTGAATTTAGACATAAACCTAACCTTAATCCACCTTATATTAAGCAGTACTTTCTTAGGTACGTATATGTAAGTACACATACTGTGAAATAAAGAGCAACCTAAATTTGTAATTATTTTGAAGAAAAAATAAGAAAAAAAACCCACCAATTTATGCAAAAATCTTGAGCTAGACACATTTATTATTTATTTATACATTCCTCATTGTTATATTCATCACACCCTTTCCCAGGATTTCCCATCATTTAGAACTGAGGATCAAACGAATCCCAGCGGAATGTGTATGTGTTTTCGTAGAGGACGGCCTCTTTTATCAAATGTTGTGTAGAAACCGTCCTACATTCAATCTAAAATCATTTATCAAATATGCGTTCGTGTGATTTAGAGAGAATGTAACTGCAAATAACAAACGTACTCACAAAAAACATGATATATATTTCTGCATTATAGGCCATTTTATAGACTGAGCGATGTCTGGAACCAAAGTATGCATACTAAACATTTGAACTTTAATGCTTGTAATTTTATTATTATTGCATTTGATTTCCACATTTGTACACGCAGTTCTCCGACTCTGCCACAAGGAAAAGTGCGTACGGTAGTTTAGGTCCTGATGTGGCGCTAAGCACTTTTTCACTTCAAAACCGTTTTTATAAATCTAAACATTGGAGTGTATCACTCTAAGAAAATGCTGTGTTGTGTCAACCCAAATTTGGGTCAAATATGGACAAACCCAAATGTTGGGTTAAAAATGCAATTAAAAAAATGTACTGTTGAAGTTGGGTTAAAATTTGAAATTACATTTTTAACCCAACATTTGGGTTAAAATAACCCAGCATTGTTTAGAGTGCACACGCTCTTAGACCAAATCCGTGCATGTTTTATCTGAACGAGCTTTATTTTAAGGCTTGCCTCTCTTGAAATCACAGCATCGAGTGAGCGCTTCAGCGAGTTGATGAGAACACGTGGCCCTCGATCACTTCAACGAGCCCTGCCAACCCGACAAGGGCACTTCATCAGAATAATTCACAATAGTCATAGCAGATGTATCTGAACACACTCATTAGCAAAACAGAGATTCAAATTACTCAATTAAATGCACAACAACGTGCTTCTCTTCTGAACTCAATTTCTTTGCTTTATAGTATGCAATCTATTAGAATAAATTATGTAGGGTGAATGTTAATGATGATGAATGCAAATCAAACAATTTAGTGATTCAATGTCACGTTTTGACCACTTATTTCCATAAGACTGACCGTATGTGAACTAATTCATGTGGAACTCATGCATGTTTAGATCATGTGACTTTCTTCAGTGAAACAAAATGTCCACTATGTATCCTGTCCAATCCGGCATCTCGTGAAACTGGCCGCTACACTGGTGGAAAATACAAACAAGTTTCTACTCATCGTCATTCCTAAAGCCTAATGCCACCTTCTTATTTTGCAAGTCAAGTCACACGCAGTTTTGAATTTGAAAAAATTAGGTTGGGTTGTTTTAACCCAATTTTGGGTCAAATATGGACAAACTCAAACATTGGGGTAAAAATGTAATTTAAAAATGTAACCCAATGGCTGGGTTTGTCCATATTTGACCCAAAATTGGGTTAAAACAACCCAGCATTTTTAGAGTGTAGTGTCGTAGAAACTACATACATCACACTCTGAATATGATCATGGACACATATACTGTATGTACACTCAGATGATAAACACAGGGCTGCGTCCCCAAATCTCATACTCTCTTACTGTGTTTGAATAAGTAATAACTTCACGATTGCTATACAAAAGTATGTTCTATAGTATGATATGGACGTACTACATCCACCATGTCATTATCACATGATCAACCAGAGTCAGTTTTAAAAATGCTGGGTTGTTTTAACCCAACTTTGGGTCAAATATGGACAAACCCAAGTGTTGGGTTAAAGGATGTCCATGTCATCCAAGATGTCCATGTCTTTCTTTCTTCAGTCGAAAGGAAATTAAGGTTTTTGATGAAAACATTCCAGGATTTTTCTCCATTTAATGGACTTCAATGGGAACCAAACGGTTCAAGATCCAAAAGACACTTTCAGTGCAGCTTCAAAGGGCTTTAAATGATTCCAGACGATGAATAAGGGTCTTATCAAGCAAAATGATTGGTCATTTGAAAAATAAATAAGAAAGTTTAAGTTTTATAAGCACAAATGGTCGCCTTGCTCTGGTCTGTGATGCGCGTTCGTGACTCTCCTGTTCGAACTCATTAATCAAAATGAACACATCTTTTCCAGAGTCAACTCGTTCATTGAATGAACCAAATGACTCGGAAAAAGATTTGTTCATTTTTGTTCGAACAGGAGAGTCACAAACTACGTCACAGAACAGAGCAAGGTGAGCGTTTGAGCTTATAAAACTTAAACTTGTTATTTATTTATTAAATGAGAGATCATTTCACTTGATAAGACCCTTATTCATCGTCTGGAATCATTTAAAGCCCTTTGAACAGTTTGCAGTTTGCACTCAAACTCTCATTTGGACCTTGAACCATTTGGTTCCCATTGAAGTCCATTATATGGAGAAAATCCTGCGTTTTCATCAAAAGCCTTAATTTCTTTTCAACTGAAGAAAGAAAGACATGAACATCTTGGATGACATGGGGGTGAGTAAATTATCAGCTAAAGTTTTTTTTTTTTTTTAAAGTGAACTACTCCTTTAAAAATGTAATTAAAACATTTAATCCAATGGTTGGGTTTGTCCATATTTGACCCAAAGTTGGGTTAAAACAACCCAGCAATTTTTAGAGTGTATCATCCATAAATCTCTCCCGTGGCCTCATGGGATAGTAAAGAGTCCATTGTATACACACTTCACAATCTCACCAGAAGGAGTATACTGTAGGTCATTCGGGGACTTTTTGCCTATACTGTTTTATGAGTACTGTGAATTCAAGCATACACATACTGTTTTTCACCTACTGTGTGTTTTGGGACGCATCCAGCATCTTCTGGAAAACCAGCTTCTGTTTTCAGAGATTGTAGAGGGAATTCTACATCTCGTGAAGTCAATTTTGTGCTAAAATACAGCGTTATAAGCATGAACAAGCAACAAAAG